CCAAGGGCCAATTTCTAGCTGATTTTTTGAGTAGAGAAAAGAACAGAGGCGCTTTGCGGAGTGTGGGAGCTTCCTTCCACCTGAAGGAGCCAGTTTCGCCCATACCGCGCATTGCTTCTTAGCGCATGGCATACTGGAATACCTACTAGGGCTTAGTTCGGCTTGGTGGGGCATCGAATGGTACTCAGCTAAAAGTGCCCAAGCCACCTTGTGAAGATCTGTGAATTGCAGTGAGGAAGTAGCAAGCACGATCATTCTGAGTTCTGTTAAAACAAGAACTTAATAAGGAACTAATTGAAGTGAAAAGTGCCCCTCCAAGTCGAACATCCTTTGCTGGATCTACCCACGATTTGTTCAATGCTGTCGATATGCATCTCAGTGTTTTCATCATTTGTATCAGTTGTTCACAGTAATTACTTAATCCGTGGAAGTTTAGTAGGGCAGCGCCCTTCATACTATTTGCCGTCAGCGATCTTTGCCTGATTAGGCAAGGTCATATTATCCATCTAGCGAGCGTACCCAGTGTTTTCAGCGACTTCCCGCGAGTTTAAAGGTACCCGTGACGCTCAAAAACGCTTACGTAAACGTACGCTCAACATGCAACGCTAATTTAAACGTACGCTCAAGATGCTGACGCCAAGTATGAACGCACTCTAAATCGTTTCTTCTTCGGTGTATCGTAGACTATTTTACGAACTTTCAGTGCAGCTAGCGCTGGCGATGTACTGACACCATCAAGTGCGCCTGCCTACCCCACGTCTTAATGCAAATTCTGCTGATATGTTTGTCGCAATTTGGGAACTAAAGCACACCTTCCCATCGACATCGATCTCATCTGCCTATCTAGTAAATAGGTAAGTTCCTTGGTCTAGTTATCTTTGCTGTTAATTTCTACCCATTGACGGCTAGTTCTACCCTTTAGCGAATACTCATTTCATGAATATTCCATGTTCAGGTCAGTATAACCGTACCTCGTATCGTGCTCACATTTTTGCGCCTTTATTTGTCTCCCTGCCCTCTTTCACATCGTCATAATGGCCGCTGGGATTGATCAGCAACAGCAACAGGTTATGAGTATGTTAGGTAAAGTGATTTACTTTGATTTTTGAATTTTTCCATTTTTTTTTGCCGCCCGCTTTCATCGGCGCAGTCTGATGACTAATCGCGATCGACAGCGATTCTCTTATTCCCCGATTCATATGCTGTCGACCCGCCGTTATACACCGTTCATACATCAATTCTCGCGCCCTGGTCATCCTATTTGTATTCAGGACTTGCGCGCGTCCTGCCAGTGGAGATGAAAATTTCGGAAAATATGACCCTCTCCCAGTTCCCGCTTCTGAGGGTAGAGTGGGTAGCGGCCCTCCCCCCTATTTTTCCAGGGTGAAACATCCCAGCATCCTATTTATTATATTTTCCTTAAGAATTTTTAACATTTTCTCTGAGATGTCTGTCCGCCAGAAAGCAGGGTTGAGTACATTTTAGCCGCTTCTCTGAAACTGGGGAAAAACCCGCTTGACAAACATAGCCAATCGTCGCAGAAAATACGCTCCCCTTCTCCGTATTTATTCTCTTACGATCTTGTAGGGGGAGTAACGATCGTGCAACCACAAGAAAATCAAACACCAAACAAATTCTTCTCAGATTTTCGAAAAAGAACTGTCTCTCCCAGCATACAAGTACCCCTCGCTGGAGTTTCACGACGTTCAATGTGCTTGTTTTCAGATAGTTTCTCATTCAACGAGCCCGTGAACATGCTCGGCGCTGGTGGCGGAGGTGGTGGCAATGCTCCGCAACTCCACAAAACAATATATGCCTGGCATATTGTGGGGCCATTATTCCTGCGACTACAGCCGTCCATTTCATGGGTGTCCACCGTTTCCTCATACATGCACTAGCCAACACCTCCTTTACAGCGTTTGTTTCAGGTTTTATGCGGTGTTGTTTCTTGGACAAATGAAGTTTGGTCGTGAGGGGAGGGGCTTTTACACTTTCGCTGCTTCTCTAGTTCCGTTTAAGAGTCTCACCGTTATGAAACCTGTGAACTCTTGTGAAGTTGAATGGCTGGTATCACTACGTGACTTCACAGGGTTCCTCATGTTTCCACTTGGCTCGTGGGGAAGTAAACGAAGCGCAAAATGCTCCTCCTCGTCGAATTAAGCCTTAGTTTTTTCTATTTGTTTGTGTTGTATGTACAGTATTTTTCTGGCTCAGTGTGGCATATGATAATCCTAATTATGGCCCGAGCGTTGGTCTACCGCGTAAGTTAGTCGCGTCTGCAGCATGAGTTTTCGTGCTTGATCCTTCGAATATGATTGCAAAGAGAAGGGGAAACTCGATTTTGCTTTACTGAATTCTTGTCTTCGCTTGAATTCCTGAAAGTTTCGCTCTCCGTTTTCAGTAACTGGTAAACATGAATTTGCGCATCTCCACACGAAACGTCTTTCGCGACAACGCGGCGATTGTCTTGTCCGTCTCCTCTTTCATGCGGATCCTTTATGAATCCAGTTATTTTCGTTGACAATATTGTCCCCCACCTCGCACATTTTTAGGTCTAGCTAGGGACATTTCAGGAGCCCCATCGCGAAAAAAAAGAAAACAGCACTCCTCGTGAGCTTGGCTTAAATTTAGCTTGAACTATCACGAGTGTATCATGGCAAGCTGCTTCTTACGTAATTTTTTGAAAATCTAAAAAATTTCATCCGCTTTAGAAATCCCTATCTAGAGAGTGAACTCAGCAGTCGATGAGTGCTTTCATCCCTTTCCGCTTCAAGTTTTGAGAACCACTCTCCGATCGTTTCGTGTTCAGCAGTTTTAACTATAGAATGGCGTTCATTCATTCGTTCAGTAATTAATAAAAAAAACTTTATCGATCATTCATTTTTAAGTTGGGGCCGTCGAATAAACGAAGTGCGACATAGGCTGCGAGGACACAATTGATTTGACGTCCAGCTGTGGTATCGTGTCGACTAGCTAGGAAAACTAGCTGGTTCGCTGATGTCCTGAAGTGCACTGCCTGAGTTTCCTACAAAGGCGCGTTCGGCTTCGGTGGGGGCATTTTTCGTGTTCCCATCAGTCGCTGCTGTTACACTTTGTGGAAACTCGTGAACTCTTCTAAAACTGTGCTATAGCGTGAGCTTCCTTCGCATTGACAAGAGTCTACAGGTTTTATCGAGCTGTGACGTGTAATTTGACAGCAACCAGCAAAATGAACTAGCGCAAGTGTAAAATACCCCCCCCCTCGCAAGCCGAACAGAGTTCCCGAAAATTTTAATGACTGTGTTTGTCAGAAATGCAGAAAAACTATCCGAACTACGTAGTGATGGGAGTATCTTCGATTCTTCCTCTCTTTCTTAGCATTGACCCCTCCGCTCCCTCAGATCCAGTGCAGTACGTCCAGGCGGAAGGGGAAATATCCCCGAAGTACTTTCCTCTCCAATTTCCTGTCCGCATTTCTGTCTAGGATTTCTCCTCCTATGTCCCCGCACGCTATTAACAAAGTGATTAAGAAAGCCGCATGGTTGAGGAGGGGGGGGGGTTATGGATGAGCAGATACCCACCTTTAATCAACACTTAAAATTAAGGTTTTGCTGCGCTAAAAGATTTATAACGCTCGTGAAATGGTAAAAACTAACAATCACAGAGTTTTCCCTAATGACAAAATAAGGAGCTGCTCCTTCCAACTGCCAAGTACGACCACACAGTTCACACGACATAACTGGGACTTGTTCAGGACAGGGTCGTTGAACAAAAACTTGCAAAATACGACCCCTCCTCAAAATCCCCCCCCCCTCAATGCAACCACTTTCCCATCCATCATCAACCTACCATCATCGGCAAGTAAAAAACTGCTTTTGAGCGAGGAAGATGAAGGCGGAGGGGTATCTAGCCCAGTAAGATAGGAAAGTCCGAGGAAAAACGATTTCCAGGTCCCTCCTCCCTCTGAAAAACTGCCCCGAGCGAAGGGAGGGGGATATTTAGAAGTCCGCAACCAAAACATTTTTCTCAGAAACGGATACCACTCCCCACCCCACCTCCAGCGACCGAATACGACCTCTCTGGCAGGAGATCTTTGGCCTACGACGTGCATTGTCCATAACGTCACCTTTCACACAACTACGGTAAACCCATAGATTTCACAGTAAAATGGGGTTTAGAAAGCATTAGCTTACTTCTTCATATCTCCACCTTTGCGGTTTCGTCATCG